TTAGATAGCTCATTAATTACTGTCATTGTGCATTATGTTTGTGGTTTAGATGGTAACTCACAAGAAACGTTCACATCTGATTGATTCTGGCACACATTACTCTCTCTAAAAACATTCAACAATTTGTGAAAGCAAGATCCAGATTAAACATTGTCCCTCCATCAGCTATAGCAGTGACCACAGAAGTGTATCACACTGAAAGTAAAAAATTAAAATAAACAGCAATATGCACTGACTTTCACACATCAATGTCACATGTTAGGTAGTCTTACATCCAAAATCATTGCAGCAAAACTTTTTAGCAGTTTTGTATTGTAACAAAAAATGCATCAGAAAAGAAATCCTGAGCGCCGTTTGTTCTAACAGAGAGGTCCTTTTATTTATGCTTTGCTGATGATTTACGGCATTCCGATCTCTCCACGTAGATTCTAAAAAAGAACTATTTTCTTCACTAGGAATTTTGATTAGACCATTTTCATTTGATAGTGATCTCTAGGAACGTGTGTAATCGAACAAAACACGACAAGTCTCGTGTTAGTTCCTGTGATATTTGATACCCTGTTAAACCATTACAAAACAGTTCAGTCTTCTAAGAGCTGTTTTTTTTTCTTTTCTTTTCTTTTAAATTTCCCATAGAAGGTGTGCAGATTAGCGAGCAACATCCACTGCAACAACATCATGCATGAAACAAAAGATTTCAAAGGAAGGCCAAGGCTTCAGTCCTACTCTATTTGACATTATCTTTATTGACAAATATATGCATAATTTGAACAACTGTAGCTTCATAAATATGTTTGCATTCATCAAAAGAACACCTTGACACTTTATCTTCAATTCCAGTTTCAGAAAGCTCAAACATTTTCTCTTCAGATCACCAGAATCCAATCAACAACCTCGTCTTTCCAGATGGGCGAAGTATCCGTTAGCATTAATATGTACAATACTACTTTCAAGAAATCATTTTTGATCCACTTACTCTTCCGAGCAGCATTCACAGTGCAGGGTGTGCTCTTAAAGTACCAAAGGCATGTTAAAGCAGACGCTCTCAAGTGTCGTCCTCTAGTGCAGAGTAGCAAAGATTATCTCCATCATGGATGTCCAGTATTCCACGGGTGAAACCAAAACTGGAGTATTTGGAACAGATCAAGCCTCTGCTCAAGATCACTAACACAGACCAAAAACAGATGACACCCCACACACCCTGCCAGATTTTAAGAACAACGCCAAAAGGGCGTTCAAAAGAGCTGAAGGACAGCAAATGGCTCCCATCCCATAATGCCAGGGTTTAGGCCAAGGCCATTGGGCACCAAGTGTCCCCTCTCACGGAGGTTGCCACGTCAGCTGTGGACGTCAGGCCTACATTCGTG